TAAGATCCTATAATATCCCTTGGTATGTCCTAAAAACAAAAACAAATGACAAAAGAAAGCCAAAACAAAATTACCAAGATAAAAGATGATCAATGTACATATAAAATTATGTATGAATCAAGTGATTTTACACTCATTAGATTCATCTCATAGAGCCGCTTAGTTTGACTATAAGCATGTTATAATTGAAGCTCATTTGGTCCATCAATTAATGTTTAGAAGTTTACAAGTATAATTCAAATGCTTGAATTGAGCTCATTTAGAGTCGAATCGAATCATTTATAGTGTAAATAGATTTATCATTGAAACGTTTAGTTTGACAATAAATTTGCTAAAAATAGGACTTCGAATGATCCTGAATTTAATTCTTGTAATTTCCAATTCAAAGATTGTCTAGAGATTCATGCATATCATATAAATTTTCTAGATTCATGTCAATAATTTCTTATAAGATGGATTTTTGCTACTTTGTCATCATGATATCACAAATTGTGTTTTTACTTGTTACATGTTAATTTCACAATTCCTTTGAATTGGCATGTGCATGATCAGTTCATTATCTGATTATAATATTAGGCTTACTAAAAAAAGCATGAACTATGAGATTAAAGATGATGAAGAAAACTAAGAGGATGTTGATACAAGTGGGTTAAAAAAAACAACTATGATGATTATTTTAATCAAAACCCTCTAAAGTGGAAGTAGGGGGGACTTTAGAATTTATAATCCCAAGTAATAACTTGTTTATATTAGGACATGTTTTATTATTTATTTTAGATTTTTTTTTTTTTGTATTTACTTGGCTGTCTTGGACTTCTTATTTATTATTGAGAGTTTGCATGAATTTTTGTTATGTTACTATGATACTTTCAAATTACTCTTAAATGCTTTATTTTCATATTTTTAATTGAAAATAATAGTTATAGTTATTTTTAACTAATAACTAATTTTGAAGCTTAAGCTCAAATGGGACAAATCAACATAAAATCAAGAACATATGCAAATAATAGTTATAGTTATTAAATGATTCTGGATTTTCATTATAACTACATGAAAAAAACCTTTCTAGAAACAACGTAAAATGTTCATTCAAAGGCAAAGAAGCAGGTAGTCCTCAACCAATTTCTTCACAAGACATGTTGGCATTGTTTGCGCTAACTTGCTAGCTCATGTTTAGGGCACATTGGTTCATAAGAGATTCTACTTCCTGGATAGCAACTTACTAATTAATTTAGATTCTCTAGGCAGATACATTTAATATATAAGCTTTGAATATGACAATTATTAGAAAATATTCAAAACCTTTCTTGAATTAAGTTTACCAGAAGGCAACCAAAGTCAACCCATAATTGACATACTAGTTAGCAAGTATATAAGCAGAGAGCTAAACAGCCCAAGGCAGTAGACTTAAACAGCCAGGAAGGATTGTTGGGTGATGTACGAATGCTTATTGTTGACCCTACGGTTACGAAGTGAAGGCAATAAATAAAAACTGACCTAGACATAAGTAAAATTTAATTAGGGTTAAATTTACAAAACAATACACGGAATTTGTATTACCTTTCATCTTATATCAGCCCAATGATACATTTGAAGGACTGAATCTGAAAAAGAAAGGCCACTGCATCCTCGAGAAAGGGAGTTCTCCCTCCTTTATTCAGAATCAACTATAAGGAATGGCCAGCAGGGTTCTAGAACAATTCCACTGTAACGAACTATGAAAACGTTATCTTGCATATCATTAATCAGATTACATTCATAAGAGAGCCACACATACAGGATTACATCATGTACAATGACATCAAGAGGGCAATTGCAAACCTCTCAAATTCATCAGCTGCTCTCGGCTCTGAGTCAAAACAGACCATTAGCAAGACACTCTCTCTAGCCATCAGAAAGTAAAACTTGAGGTGAATCTCAAGTAGATGGTTTTTCCTCTACATGAACTCGACTTATATAATCCATTAATAAGGAAAAGTCTTGAATGAACAAAGTAGCAGACAATGTCTTCAAGGGCATAGCTAATGCTTCATATCTGCTAACAACAAATGCTCTGGTCCACATCTTTTAAAACAGCAAAAAAGATGATGGGGATAAGAAAAAAAATGTCTAAAACCAGTCGCATCCTTCAAAAAGATAATCAAAGACTAAGGAACCCTTTTATTTGTTTTGTTTATAATCAACGTGTTAGCTTAAAATGAAATTATATTTGATTATATTATGTAATTATTGTTTTCAAAAACTAAATAAAAAACACCCAACCAAATTAAAACACGTGCTATTCAACATATAAAATTTAGAAGTTCAGGTGGATAAAAACAGTACATGTTTGTTAGTGTGCAAATCAAGGTTTTCATACTCTTCAGTTTTGACCTCTTTGCCAGAGTTCCATTGATTTTGATAATTTAAGTAGTTTTGGTGTTCAGCTTAGATTTTAACTTTTTTTAGTACTTAAAATGGCATTTTTTTATTAAATTTAAATGAGAATTTGACTATTGATGGGGGACAATGGAGAAAAAAGCTTCATGCAGCCGACCCCACAGGCTTATTGTTGTTGTTGTACATAAGAGGATAAACAATAATGATTTATATTTTTGAATGAACCCATTAAAAAAATACAGCATACAAAATTTATATTACTCTTTATTTTGATTTAGATTAAATATAGTTAAAGCCTTTAACTACTATAACTTGACATTTGGCTAGACAGTTGCCTACCATATGTAATTCTTCAAATACCCAAGTTCAAAAACTGGCGGTAGCTAAGAATCCCAAATTTGATTTTGAGATTACAAAACACCTAAAACATGTTTTCAGAATTTCTAAAACAATTTGATTCAGCTCTAAAATCAAAAACCAAAATAACTTGACAAACATATTTTATTATCACTTTAATCAGTATTAAAACAAAACTAAAATTAAAAAACAAAAAAGAATCCCAACAGGACCAAGAAATTAGTAAGTATTTAACTAGAATGCAGATAAACATGCCTCTGATTTGCAAGGTCGAAACTTAACAACTTTCCAAACAAACTCCCAAGAGAAGGCAACTGAGCAA